AACAGATTTGGTGAAGGCAATGGTTTTGAGGTTTTCAAAGGAATAAGCCACTGTGAGCATAAAAGACAGCCAAGGACTAGGTAAAATTATCGAAACTGGTAGGTATGAGTTTGCTTCTCATCCAAGATAAATGGCAGAGGGGTGTACCTATCGGTGGTAGAAAAAGAGAGACCACACTCTACATCACACGGATAGGTGGCAAGATTAAATAAAATGCAGGCCACATGAGCAGATGATGTACAAAAAAAAAGAAAACAAATGAAATCAGAGTCAGCCTGAAGATATTTATACTAGAAACAGCTAAGAGCCATCACCTCCTTTCCTATCACTGTTGTATCACTCTTCCCTGGGAGAAGAAGCTGACCTTCACCACACCTCAAACATGTTTCAGGGAGTTGCAGAGAGTGATAAGGTCTCCCTTGGAGCCTTATCTTCTCCAGACTAAGCAATCCTAGCTCCCTCAGCCACTCCCCAAAAGACTTGGATTCCAGACCATTCTCCACCTTCATTGCCCCTCTCCGGACACATTCCATGGCCTGAAGGTCTTTCTTGTAGTAAGTGGCCCAAAACTGAACACAGAGCTCATGCTGTGGCCTCACCAGGCAGACAATCACCTCCTTAGTCCCTCTTGAATGGTCTTTGAACTCTCTAATATGTACTATCTTTGTGTCTTTATATACTTGACTGTGAATTATTCAGGCCCCTCTATGAACTCTGTGAAAAGCATCATCATAAACTGCTAGCAAAGAAATCAATACGGCATAAAATTGCACTGTGATTAAACTAGAAACCTGGAATCAGACACATGGATCATCTAAAAGTAATGGTTCCTATTTATTTATTTCCATGGAAACGAAAACTGATACAAAGGGCACAATAACAGTTTGATAGGGAAAATTCTCAGCTACAAAGCCTTTTTTTTTTTTTTTAACATAATCACTGTCATCAGCCAACTTATGCAGACGAGCTGCTTGAGACACTCTTTATTTCACGGTGTGACAGCTGTGCATGGCCATCCAGAAGGTGGCTTGCTTTTCACATTGCTGTTGCCACTGTTGAAATGCACTCTATGTGCTCACATCCACTGTTTGGTCTCCATAAACATTCAGCAAGTGTTGATGAATAGTAATGGATGCCATTTTTTTCCATGCTGTGGAATTCAAATCCAAACCTTTGCTTCATAGATACTTCCACGTCACGCACCACTTTGTCAGACTTGCACCTCTGCTGCCGTCAAGATGGCCACAAAGTGTAATGAAATAGGAACAGAAAGGTTCCACTTCTACCGCCGAACCAGAAACACCCACTTCTGAAACCATGAGCAAACATAATAGAACAGGAGGCATTAATTTCAGTGCAGCTCTTGTACAACGTATGAATAAATACAAAATTTTGGTATTCCAGAATTATTTTGATAAAACATAATGCTCATCAGTTATGAATTTTTGTCCAAATTAAAAAAGACACTGGACTACAAATTGCCATTATGCCTCTCATTAGTGCCACATAGCTTACAAGTGTGTCATTAGTGCCACATAGCTTACAAGATGCCTGCCTTCTGCATGGTCTCGAACAGGGGTGATGGCAGTGACCACACCATTTCATCTCGTCTCTACTGCAATGAAAGAACAACCTGTGCTATCCTATTGGTTGGTTTCATCCCAGGAAATTCAGCCAAATCTCATCTTTGTCTTTTGTAGTGAATTCCACAAGAGTGGGACTCATGGTGGCTATACAAGCCAGTAACCAAGGTGTTGCAGTTTCTTGTCACAGGCTACAGCTTTCTAATATGCCAGCAACACATGGCTCTGAGCTTGCTTAGGCCTGCCTGGAGACTTATTTGAGCTCCTTTAGCTGTTGACAGCAATTGTCTAATCACCAAGCCAATAGTGCTTGCTTTTTCTTTACCTGGCTTGAAACAAGCTCATGCTCTGACACCTAATGTATAATTGCAGCTATTGGATATTGTCCTGCCATGTGTACCTGCTGAGGTGCATTTAGAAACACAACAGCACAAACGCAGCAGAATCTGCCCAGGCAGAATATCAAAGACAGGAGGGGCATGTAGAAATACATATGCAGTAAAAGGAAGGCTAGGGTGAATGTGCAGCCCCAGTAGAATGGGGCAGGGCAGGCATTAAGGGCATGGAGGGCATGGAGGGCATGGAGCCTCCTGTGCTGCATGTGATCATCCAAAACAAGATTTGAGAAAATCGTGAAGAGCTCAGAACCACAGTGTGACTCCATCAGTGCCAAGACAGAGATGTCATGGACAGCTCTGGGCAAGAAATTGTGGGGGGAACCAGGCACTGTGCAAGACACCGATGAAAGAAAGTGCCACGCATTTGTGAGAAAACTGGTGTTTCATGAGGGAAAATGCCATATATTGAGGGTACAAATGGTATTTCTGTGATAAAATGCCAAAAGTCTGGGAGTGAGTGTCATGATGAGGAGTGTAATGCAGTCTGTTTGGGAGGAAATGGGAGGTATTTCTAAGAGTACTCTATTTTTCTGGGAGAGAATGTCCTATTCAGGGAAGAAAAGTGTTATTTCTTACCAAAAACGCCATCCAGTTCGGAGACAATCTCCTATATGTGGGAGAAGAGTAGTATTTCTGTGAGAAAATGTCCTATTCTTGGTTGCAAGTGCAAAATTTGGTCTTGTCATCTGATATTTTTGGGAGAAAACCTGTGGTAGTTGTAAGAAAACGGGTATTTCTTGGAGAAAGTATCCTATTTTTGGAAGAATAAGTCAGCTTTGCAACTGAAATGTGGTATTTCTGTGAGAAAATGACCTACTTGTTGGAGAAAAGGGGGAAATTCTGGAAAGGAATGTCTTCTATTTGAGAGCAACTGTCTTCTTTTTGGAGTGCAAACCGGTTCTTTGGGGAGAAAATAGGGTCTATATGGGAAAAAATGTCCTCTTCAGGAGTGTAAAGTAGTACTTTTGAGAGAGAATGGAAGGTATTTCTTAGAAAACTGCAATTTCTGGGAGAAGACAGCATGCTTTGTTGGAAAATGACATCTATTTGTGAGAAAGCTGGGATTTTGGGGAGAAAATGACGCATTTTTAAAAATAAGCTGGTATTTCCGGGGGAATATGTCCCATCTTTGTTAGACAACTGGAATATCTGTGATCAAATGTCATTTTGATGGGAGTAAACATGATATTGAGGAGTGTAAAGTAGTGCTCTTGAGATGAAATGTGAGATATTTCTAAGGGTACTGGTATTCCTGGGAGAAAATGTGTTGTTTCTGAGAGAAAATGTTGTCGTATTTTGGGGGGAGAAACTGGTATTTCTGTGATAAAATGCCCTATTTCTGGGAATGAGTGTCATATTGAGGAGTGTGAAGTCGTATTTTTGGTAGAAAATGGGAGGCGTTTCTAAGAGAACTTGTATTTCTGGGAGAAAATGTCTTATCTTGGGGGGGAAAGTTCCTATGTCTGTGAGAGAACTGTGTTTCCTGGAGAAACTGTCTTCTTTAGGAAGAAAAGATCTTTTATTTGCAAGAAAGCTGGTATTTCTGGGAGGAAATATCATATTTTTGTTGGAAAATGTCACATTTGCTACTGTCACGTAGTATTTTGTGGATGAAACATGAAGTATACCTAAGAAAACCTGTATTCCTGGCAGAAAATGTCATCTCTTTGGGGAGAAGACTGGTATTTCAGGGAGAAAATATCCTTGTTTGGGGAGAAAGTGTACTATTTTTGATGGAAAAGTAGTACTTGTGGGAGAAAATGCCATGTATTTGGGTGAAGGGTGGGATTTCTGGGAGGAAATACCATATGTTTGGAAGAAAGTGTCCTCTTTCAGATTGAAATGTGATACTTGTGGTCAAAACTGTCCTACGTTTGGGCGAAAACTGGTATTTCTGGGAGATAATGTCATTTTATTGGAGCAAGCCATTATTTCGGGGAGAGAAGGTCTTATTTTTGGAAGAAAATGCCGTACCTGGGGGGGGGGGGGGGGGGGGAACTGGCATTTCTGGGAGAAAATGTCATCTTTGGGGGAGAAGATGTCACCTTGAGGATTGTAATGTCATATTGTTTGGAGAAGGCCTGAGGTATTTCTAAGAAAAGTGGTATTCCCAGGAGACAGTATCATATTTTGGGGGAGTGGGGGAGGGGTCGTCATCTATTTGGGAGAAAGCTGGTATTTCTGGGAGAAAACATCCTCTATTGAAGAGCCAAGTGGTATTTCTGGCAGGAAATGTCCCACATTTGGGACTCAAGTGGCATTTCTGTGATAAATGCCGTATTGTTGGGAGTAAGTGTCATATGAAGGTGTGCAAAGTAGTCTACTAGGGATGAAATTGGAGGTATTCCTTTGAAAGCTGGTATTTCAGAGAGGAAACGTCTTCTTTCTGGGGGAAAATGTCATCTGTTTGAGAGAATGCCGATAAGTCTGGAAGAAGATCTCTTTTTGGAGGAAACTGTAATATTAGGGAGAGAAAAGTGGTATTTCTGGTCCAAGATGTCATCGAGTTGGGATAACGCTGGTGTTTCTGGGAGAAAATATCCAAAATATTTTGGATGAAAATATAGTCTTTAGGGTTGAAATGTGGTATTTCTGGGAGGAAATGGAATGTGCATGAGAGAAAACTGTTCCTTTGGGGAGAACATATCCTATTTTTGGCGGAAAATGTCCTGTTGAACAGTTTAAGTCTGCATTTTTTGGAGAAAATGTAAGTTATTATCAAGAAAACTGGTATTTCGAAAACGTGGTATATTTGAGAGAATGCTAGTATTTCTGGGAGAGCATAGCACATATTTTTAAGAGAACACGGAGTACTGAGAGGAAATGTCATCGTTTTTAGGTGAAAAAAAAGATATTTAGGGGAATAGAATCGTGTTTCTGGAAGAAAAAGTGAGAAAACTGGTATTTCTGGGAGAAAATGTCATACATGAGGGAGAAAACTGGTATTTCTGTGAATGAATGCCATTGACAATTTCTGCATTTTTTTCTTTTCTTTTTCTTTTTCTCTTTCTTTTTCTTTTTCTTTTTCTCTTTCTTTTTCTTTTTCTTTTTTTTTTCCATGCATGATTTGGATCAAACTTGCCAAAGATATCAGAAACTCCAAGAAACTGAGCTAGCTGCAAAAGTTGATGACCTGAATGCATTGCAACTCAAACCTCTTTCTACTAAGCCTTCTTCAGACAGTATGAATTCCAAGAAGGATGCCTGAAACTTATCAGTTGAGGAGCTGCCTACTGATGCAATGAGAAAAGTAGAACAAAACTACATGCTTGATTGAGACTGTACTCAATCAATCAATCCTACAGCCTCACACCACGTCTACAAGACTGTCTGCAAGATGAAAAAACAGCCAAACCAAAAACAAAGATACATTTAGTCTTTCCTCAGGTAAGAACCAGTAGTAGGTCAGTAGGTAAGGCTGTAAGAACAAGTTAAATGGGTAGTAATACTTCTCCATGATATTTCAATATATTTACACAGATTTTCATTCATATATAGGTTAAGAATTTCCTGAGACAAAAGTTTCCCGGATATTTATTCCATAGCTTTCCCTCCTTCTCCTTCAAGAAATTCCCCAATTTAATTGTGTTCAGGATGAGGAGCCACCTCTTCTTATTTATTCCAAAGCTGTCACTTTCTAGTTATTTCAT